AACAGTACTGAGGTTAAAAGTTATAGGCAAGGGAATATATATCCCAAAATTTGTTTTATTTATTGGGATGAAACTGTTAATTGTATGATATACCTGACTAACACAATTGGCTTCTCCACTGGGTTTAACAGGTGATCTTAAGTATTTATTTTCACTTAAATTCTTTTTTTTTTTTTTTCGGAGACGGAGTCTTGCTCTGTCACCCAGGCTGGAGTGCAGTGGTGCAATCTCGGCTCACTTCAACCTCTGCCTCGGGGTTCAAGCAATTCTCTGCCTCAGCCTCCCGAGTAGCTGGGATTACAGGTGCCCACCACCACGCCCAGCTAATTTTTGTAGTTTTAGTAGAGACAGGGGTTCACCATCTTGGCCAGGCTAGTCTTGAACTCCTGACCTCGTGATCCACCCACCTTGGACTCCTAAAGTGCTGAGATTACAGGCGTGAGCCATCGTGTGCATCCAACCTCACTTAAATTCTTAATGAATATTGATATTTTGGTAAGCCAATCTACTTCCCAAGAAGATTGTGGCCATTTGATTTTTTTTAGCTCTTTCAAATTTATATAACATATGTTTTTGTTTTTTTCTTTTGAGACAGAGTTTCACTCTTGTCACCCATGCAATGGCACGATCTTGGCTCACTGCAAACTCTGCCTCCCGGGTTCAAGCAATTCTCCTGTCTCAGCCTCCCAAGTAGCTGGCATTACAGGTGCTAACCACCACACCTGGCGAACAACCCACTAGATCTGTATAAGTCTATCCTGTAGTCCTTTCGGCCATTTGATAGAAATTGAACAGGGAGTCAGAAACTGGGAATCAGAGTTTCCAAGTTCTTGCTCACCCCATGACCTTGGAGAGATGTTTGTCCTTTTAAAAATCTGTTTCCTCATCTGGAAACAAAGTTAAATTTTGTTGTCGTTGTTTTTTTAGTAGAGTACGGGTTTCACCATGTTGGCCAGGCTGGTCTCGAACTACTGACCTCAGGTGATCCGTCCGCCTCGACCTCCCAAGGTGCTGAGATTACAGGCATGAGCCATCGCACCCAGCCAACACATGGTCTTTTTAGGCATTAAAATTCCATTAAAAAATTAACACAGCAGCTTGGAAAATATACTAAGTCTCTTGTAAAAGGTAGTAAGACATATAAGAAAAGTGAAAAAGTGCCAGGATTAAGTAATTCAATGCTTTGTAAATCAGATTTAAGAATTTGGATTAGTGCTAGTCTATTAAAAAAAAAAAAAAGCCTGCAACAATTCAGCAAACAATGGATTAGAGAAACTATGAAATTGACAAACAATATGCAATTCAGAGAAATGTAAGAAAGGTGATTTAAAACGGTAAAACTGGCAAATTTACAAGCAGGAAGAGGCTTTTTAGTGAACAACCATTTTCAATTTCTGGAATACAGGGAAATGTTTTGGAATTTCAAAATAACTCATTGTAAGATGAAGATTTAAAACAGCAAGAAAAACAATAATGACCTGTCACTACTGTTCACTGCTGCCCAGAACCTTCTACTGAAGTGTTAATAAACATCATCAGTCATGTAATCTCAGACTTGAATTGTGGTGCAAGTCACAAGAATACAGTGAAAATGTCTGTCTCTGAAGTTAAAAACTACAACAACAAAAGTAGGAGTGTTAATTTTTTTAGGTAGGTTTGTTTTTCTGAAGTTCATTAAGTTAAAAGACTGGCTGGGCACGGTGGTTCACACCTGTAATCCCAGCACTTTGGGAGGCCGAGGTAGGTGGATCACAAGGTCAGGAGTTCAAGACCAGCCTGGCCAAGATGGTGAAACCCCATCTCTACTAAAAATACAAAAATTAGCTGGGTGTAGTAGTAGATGCCTGTAATCCCAGCTACTCGGGAGGCTGCAGCAGAATTGCTTAAACCCGGGAGGTGGAGGTTGCAGTGAGCCGAGATCACGTCACTGCATTCTAGCCTGGGTGACAGAGGGAGGCTCCATCTCAAAAAATAATAATAATAAATAAATAAAGACCAACTACTTCAAGCAATTTATGGTCAATCATTGATTTGAAAACGGCCAAGGCAAAAAGGTTTTGTGGGACAAACTGTCATTGGGATAGGTCCTTAAGCTGCAGATTCATCAAAAAGTACAAAATTATGCTGGACACAGTGGCTCACGCCTCTAATCCTAGCATTTTAGGAGATCCAGGTGGGCAGATCACAAGAGGTCAGGAGTTCAAGACCAGCCTGGTCAACATGGTGAAATCCCATGTCTACTAAAAACACAAAAATTAGCTGGGCGTGGTGGCACACGCCTGTAATCCTAGCTACTTGGGAGGCTAAGGCAGGAGAACTGCTTGAACCTGGGAGGTGGAGGTTGCCGTGAGCCAAGATCACGCCACTGCACTCCAGCCTGGGCGACAGAGCAAGACTCTGTCTCAAAAAAAAAAATAAATAAAGTACAAAATTTTATGGTTCTGAAACTTGGATTTATGTCTCTTTGAGTAGCTGCATTGCAATCTTTTCTTTTCTTTTCTTTTTGAGATGGAGTCACCCAGGCTGGAGTACAGTGGCACGATCTTGGTTCACTGCAAGCTCTGCCTCCCAGGTTCACGCCATTCTCCTGCCTCAGCCTCCCAAGCAGCTGGCACTACAGGTACCCGCCACCAAGCCCGGCTAATTTTTTTGTATTTTTAGTAGAGATGGGGTTTCACTGTATTAGCCAGGGAGGTCTGGATCTCCTGACCTCGTGATCTAAAGTGCTGGGATTACAGGCATGAGCCACCACTCCCGGCCCATATTCTTTTCAATTACTAACACTTGATCAAAATGTAAAGCAGCAAATAGATTTTTAAAAAACAAACAAACCAAGACATTACTTAAGGTGTTTTTCTGAAAATCTAATTCCTGGAGCTAGATGTATAAAAAGCATAAAAACAAAATTATCAAGAACTAGGTTAATTGTTAGGTAGTCACAAAAAACATCCGAGGGACAAAGGTTAGGTTTATGTAGCATAGTGTAATGGAACCATCACTAGACTGTAAACCAGATAACCTGGATCCCACTCCCATATGCCATAACTGGTTATATGTAATTGGCCTCATAGTGACCTACATTTCTATTTCTGCAAGAAACTTAGAAAACTAGAGGCTTTAGACCAGATGCTTTCTAAGGTTATCTTACAATTTAAACTGTTACACTTTTAAGTCTTATAAGAAACATTTGTATCAGCCCTAACAGGAATGTTATAATTAGATGGAATGTGAGTTGCTAGGAACAGGTATGCACATACAACAAAATAGTTGGGATAAAAATAATACCTTCTAAGAATACTTGCAGCCACCATTGTCAAAACAGACTAAATTCTTTTTTTTTTTTTTTTGAGACGGAGTCTTGCTCTATCGCCCAGGCTGGAGTGCCGTGGCCGGATCTCAGCTCACTGCAAGCTCCGCCTCCCAGGTTCACGCCATTCTCCCGCCTCAGCCTCCCAAGTAGCTGGGACTACAGGCGCCCGCCACTTCGCCCGGCTAGTTTTTTTTTTTGTATTTTTTAGTGGAGACGGGGTTTCACCGTGTTAGCCAGGATGGTCTCGATCTCCTGACCTCGTGATCCACCCGTCTCGGCCTCCCAAAGTGCTGGGATTACAGGCTTGAGCCACCGCGCCCGGCCAAAACAGACTAAATTCTTGAAGTAGGAAAACCATTGGTCACAAATTGATCTTCCACTTGTATCAATAAACCTAAAAAATAGTATTGTTAGCAGTGCTTGTTAAATTTGAGAGCAATGATACACATAATTCTGTCTTCTTTGTACTGCTGTTTCAGACTCTGCTACTGAATTATGTTCCCTCCCAAATTCGTATGTTGAAGTCTTAAACCTCAGCACCTTAGAATATGACGTTATTTGAAGATCAGTTCTTCAAGTTAAAAAGATGTTGGGAGGGGCCCTAATCCAATATGACTGGAGTCCTTATAAAAAGAGGAACTTTGGCCCAGCGCGGTGGCTCATGCCTGTAATCCCAGCACTTTGGAAGGCTGAGGCCGATGGATCACCTGAAGTCAGGAATTTGAAACCAGCCTGACCAATGCGGTGAAACCCTGTCTCTACTAAAAATACAAAATTAGCCCAGCTGGCGCCTGTAATCCCACTTACTCGGGAAGCTGAGGCAGAAGAATCACTTGAACCCGGGAGGCGGAGGTTGCAATGAGCTGGGATTGCGCCACTGTACTCCAGCCTGGGTGACAAGAGTGAAATTCCATCTCAAAAAATTAAAAAAGAAAAAAAAAAGGGGGGGAAATTTGGGGACAGACTCGCACACAGGGAGAACACCATGTTAACATGAGGCTATCCATCTACAAGCCAAGGACAGACCTGAAACAGATCCTTCGCCTACAACCCTCAGAAGGAACCAACTCTGCCAGTAACTCCATTTTGAAAGTCTGGCCTCCACAACTGAGAGACCATAAATTTCTGCTAGGCAACTCAGTTCGTAGTAATTTGTTATGGCAGCCATGGGAACTAATATCGATGCTAATTTATCATTTTATTGACAAACAAATATTGTTAAGCTATACATTTTCATGCCAGCAACCCGTATCTCCCAGAACTTCCTAACTTTACATTAAATACTTCAGTGGGTTTTCTGTCAATAAACAATTTGACGTCAGAGATTTGGGCAAGAGTCGGCATAATGGCTCACGCCTATAATCCCAGTGATTTGGAAGGCCAAGGTGGGAGGACTGCTTGAGTCCAGGAGCTTGAGACTGGCCTGGGCAACATAGCGAGATCTCATCTCTATAAGAAATTTAAAAACAGCGGGCATGGTGCCACATGCCTGTAGTCCTAGCTATGCAGGAGGCTGAAGTGGGAGGATTGCTTGAGCCTGGGAGACTACTGCCTGGGAGCTGTGATCAACCACTGCACTCCATCCTAGACAACAGAACGAGACCGCCTCTAAGGAAAAAAATATTAAGTCTGTGCATGAATTTATGGTTCCTCAACAGAAAATGAAACATCAAGTTATGAATGAGTTATGATAGTTATTTATTATTGTGTAAGCCCTTATTAGTTCCTCCCTCATCCCATCTTAAAATATTCAACAATAGACGGGGGCTCAAAAAATTTTTTTTTAAAAAACAGACTGCCATGAAAACCAAATCTTTTCTTTCTGTAATAACAGTGGCTTCCTAGTGTTATTTCTTATTAATGAGAGTATCCGTGGACTTAATTGTATATTGCATTTTAGTTCTAGTCGTGTAATAATGTAATGACTTCATACACAAAAAAACTAATATTGTCTTGAGTTTTAAAAAGAAAAAGTTACTAGCACCCACGGTTAAGGAAGAAAAACTGCAGCTCATTTCAATACATTTGTTTCTTTTCAATTCATGAAATCGAGCACATGCAAGAAACAGGATGACAGTCACCAGGAGTGGTTAAAACTACAAACTATCACGCAATTGAAAATACCACATTAAAGATATATTTATATACTGAAAATGGAGGAATGCCAATAAAATTTTATAATTTACAAAAGTTACCTGTTAAAGGCAAATTTCATAAGTTGTGTTTACAATCATCCATTTAATCATCTCCAAAAAAAGGCTGAATTTATTATTTTAAACTTTCTGTAAGTTAAAGACAATAATCAAGTTGTCTCATGGACTGGAAGGTGACTTATTAATTCCCTTTCGTTTCCAAACCTCATCAAGCAGTCACTACATTTATGAGGCAAGTCAGCTGAGTGCTTGAAATCTAGATGAATTTTAAGATCTTCAATTTGTCCTGTTGAATATTCACAATATTGACATAAATAAATCCCTTCAGATAAATGTGAATTTAAATGCTTGCAATATTCTAGCATACTTGAAAAGCCTTTCCCACAGTCATCACAAACATGAGGAAAAATTTTAGTATGTTCAATAGCAACATGCCTGTTAACATTCGTATGAAGTCTACTCCGAAAACCACATACTTGACATACAAAGAAATTTTTACATTTGTCAAAGGTAATTTTGCTTAAGAGGCTATACTGTCCATGTTCTCCATTGTTATACTTATCACTTAACTCTATTAATTTACATGCATGCTCATTTACCACATGGCTATGCAAGTCTTCTGGATCATTAGTTTCATGTTCACAGAACTGACACAAGTACTGTTCATCACAGCTATGCTCCTGGAAATGTAGGTAGAGTTCACTGCTTGAGGAGAACTGTACATCACACTGTTCACACCAATAGAGGTGATCACTAAAATGGGTGTCTGCAATGTGCTGGCTGAGGTTCTCAAAAATTACTGTCTTATAATCACAGTATTTACAAATGTAGGGATCCTCTTCATGTAGTTTGGCATGTTCTATCAGAAGCATATTGGTAGAGAAACTTTCCTTGCACACTCGACATACATTTGAATCAGTACGTTTATGCTTCAGGATCATATGCTGCTTTAAGTCAGAAAAATATTTGCTGTTAAACTCACAAAGTTCACATTTATAGAGGCCACTGCTATTAGCTCTCAGTAAAGGCCATTTCTGCTGGGCAGTCACATTCAAAGCTTGGCTCTTGTCAAGAATTTTACAAAGTTTAGCTGGTGGTTCTTCATCAGTTTGGTCTTGGAGACTCTCAGAGGAATTGTTTTCTGTCTCTATATCATAATCCTCAGAAATTGCATGCACTTCTACAGCAATTGGAACATCTTCAGCAGTGTGAACTTCTATAGGACTCTCCTCTTGGGTTTGCTGGTTGACTGATTCAGGTGAGTCACACTCTTCATCACAAATTTCAATATCAGCAGATTTTTCTGAAGAATAAAACAAACCTATTATATGACTATAACTAAATAAGATCTGTGAAATACAACTGGGCAAAAAGAAATTTATTGCATGCACTTTTTTAAAAATTCACCAATACAAAATGTATCAATGCTATTAATTAGTTCCCCCAACCTGTAGAAAAGGCAGTGTGGTCTAGAATTCTAAGTACAGGACTGGGAACCAGGTAGTTCTGATTTCTGTTTCTGGCCTTGATTCCATCCGCAAATTTTGGCAAGTCATTTGATGTCTCGGTATCAGAATCATCATCTGTAAAAGGGAATTTGGAAGAATACTTATTATTTATATAATCAAAGCATTAATTATAGAACGAAGCATCAATTTTTAAAAACAATTTTGAATTCCAACAGGAACTAAGACTTGGATTTAGTCACAAAAAGAAAATTATCTATATACCTCAGACACAGAAAATCTGCTCAAACAAGCAAATGCTTTAGAAATGATGCCCCATTTGAACTAGGTTACACTTTTTGAAGTTTCTTAGGATTTTAAGTTTAAATTACTGAGTTTCAGTAAGTCTTTATATCCGCAGGTCAGCGCCAGTGTTTCAAAGGTAGCACGGGGAAACTGAAATACAGGTTAATAGTGAAAATTGGGCTTCAATATTTTGCGAGGGAGCAAGTTTTGCTCTGTCTACCAAGGCTGGAGTACAGTGGCATGATTGTGGCTCACTCACTGAAGCCTCAAACTCCTGGGCTCAAGTGACCCTTCAGCCTCAGCCTCCTGAGTAGCTAGGACTATGGGCATGCACCACCAAGCCTGGGTAATTCTTGTTTTTTGAGATGGGGTCTTGCTATGTTGTCCAGCCTTGTCTTGAACTCCTGGCCTCAAGTGATCCTTCCACCTTGGCCTCCCAAAGACCTGGGATTATAGGCATGAGCCACCACACCCAGCCCATCCATCATGTTTTCTTAAAATAGACTTTATTTTTTACAATAGTTTTAGAATTACAGAAAAATCTGAGAGGATAGTATGGAGAGGTCCCATGTATCCCAGTTTCTCCACTACTGACATCTAACATTAGTATGGCACATTTGTTAAAATTAATGACCAATACTGATATCTTATTAATAAAGCCATCTAGATGTCCTTAGTTTTTAACCTAATATCCCTTTTCTGTTCCAGGATACCACATTCCATTAAGGTGCCATGTCTCTCTAGACTATTGTTGGCTATGGCAGTTTCTCACTCCTTGAGGAGTACTAATCAAGTATTCTGTAGGATGCCTTGCTAATGGAATTTGTTGCTTTCTTTTTTTTAAATGATTAGGCTGGAATTACGGGTTACTGGGAGATAGACCAGAGGTAAATTGCCATTTTCATCACTTCTTATTAAGGGTACATACTATCAATATGATTTATGGTTGTTGATGTTGATCTTGATCACCTGCCTAAGTATTTATCAGGTTTCAACACTGTAAAGTTGCCTTTTTTTTGTTTTTGTTTTTGTTTTTTTGAGATAGAGTTTTGCTCTTGTTGCCCAGGCTGGAGTGCAATGGCGTGATCTCAGGTCACCGCAACCTCCGCCTCCCAGGTTCAAGCAATTCTCCTGCCTCAGCCTCCCGAGCAGCTGGGATTACATGCATGCACCACCACGCCTGGCTAATTTTGTATTTTTAGTAGAGACGGGGTTTCTCCATGTTAAGGCTGGTCTCGAACTCCTGACCTCAGGTGATCCGCCCACCTCAGCCTCCCAAGGTGCTGGGATTACAGGCGTGAGCCACCGCGCCTGGCCTAAAGTTGTGCTTTTATTTTCCATACTTTACCCTTTGTAAGAAGTCACTATGTGCAGTCCATGTTAAGGAGTACAGACTTATATTCCATCTCCTAGAGGGAGGAGTAGCTACATAAATAATCTGGAGTTTTATTATTTCTTGGCCTTTTGGTTAAGTCTAATAATTTGGAATTTTTCTGCACAGATTTGCCTCTTCTCCTCTATTTAATAATTTATAACAGCATGAATTCATGGATATTTTATACTCTGGGTTATAATTTTTTGTCCTCAAATAGGTTTCAGTTTTGGCTACTGGGAGCTCTTTAAGTTGACTTGTGCTCCTTTAGCATGCCCCTGTCAAGTGCGTGTGTTTGGGTTTTTTTAAGTACTTTTCCTATTTTCCGGCACTACAAAATGCTCCAGGTTCATCTTGTATTTCCTGCCCCAGACCTAGAATCAGCCATTTTTCCAAGGAGGCCTAGTTCTTTTCACTAAAGAATGGCATTAGAAACCAAGACCTGGGCATTCAATGTGCTCATGCTCACTGCTTCTGGGTGTCATTTCTTTTAGGCCCTCTCAGCTAACAGAGCAAAGTGTGTGTGTACAGTACCACATATATATACACACACACACATATCTACAAGCATTCTGTATGTAGCCATCTGAATCTATAGTAAGCTAAACATGAATTCATACTGATGTCTCCAACTCTACATGATTTTTGTAATTTATATTTCTGTGCCTGTAACGGGAGCTCAAGGGAACTGGGACAATCTGGTTACAGAAGAAGTTTAAGTGCAAGTTGTAAATTGTTATCCTTCACCAATGCTCTAGAACAGAGAAGCCAATAGAAGATCCAAGATTGAAAAATACCAAATCAACCTCTGTTCTTTTCTTCCACACTATGTGGTATAGCTGAGTAGAACTGTGTCTAACACTACTCTTAACCTTTCAAGATAAATACTCCCAACTCTGAGTCACACCTGCTTTGCCACCAATTCCTAACCAACTAAAGTGGATTTAGGACTGAGAGCCGTGGCTCAGCACTCTGTGAGGCCAACATGGGAGGACTGCTTGAGGCCAGGAGTTCAAGACCAGCCTGGGCAACACAGCAAGACCCTGTCTTTACAAAAAAATTTTAAAAATTAGCCAGGCATCGTTGTGCATGCCTGTAGTCCCAGCTACTCAAAAGGCTGAGTGGGAGGAACGCTTTAGTTCAAGAGGTCAAGAATGCAGTGAGCTATAATCCATGGAGTGAGACATGTCTGCATGGGTGACAGAATGAAGACTGTCTCCCCGCAACCCTACTCCCTTCAAAAAAATGGACTTACGAGAGTACACTTTTTAATTTATAGATCAGAAATAATGTGAAAAGTTAAAATTATAGCCGGGCACGGTGGCTCACGCCTGTAATCCCAGCACTTTGGGAGTCTAAGGCTGGCGGTTCATGAGGTCAGGAATTTGAGATCAGCCTGACCAACATGGTGAAACCCTGTCTCTACTAAAAATACAAAAATGAGCTGAATGTGGTGGCGCGCTTCTGTAACCCCAGCTACTCAGGAGGCTGAGGCAGGAGAATCGCTTGAACCCGGGAGGCAGAGGTTGCAGTGAGCCGAGATCACACTGCTGCACTCCAGCCTGGGCGACAAAGTGAGACTCCATCTCAAAAAAAAAAAAAGGAAGAATTAAAATTACTTGCTTTCTTAAAAAAATACAACTTTGCTTTCTTACATTGTAACAAATTTCAAAGACTTGTCTGTTTTGAAATCATCAATCCACATTTTAGCCACATTTTCAAGTAAGGAATAAAAAATGTAAAAGCAGTTTAAAGAAACATATTTTCAAAAATATTAGATATACCTTTGTTGTCAAAATATTTTAAATCTGGCTGTCTCATAGAACAGACACTGTAACAATGATCAGAGAAAATTCCATTGAATCCATCTGCAATTCTGCTTATTCCAGAGGAATCTGAACATAAAACAAAATGAAAAATATTTCAAGCACAGTAAACATACACATTTAATGAGAAACTTCCCGTTATCTAACATACACAGATGTTCTTAATGTTACAGTATCTGTAATGAAAATACTATATATTTTCAACTTTTAAAGCTTTTATATTTCAGATCTGATACTGACATTGGACTTTGAAAGAACCACAAATTACATACTTTAAAACGTAACAACTTTGAAATACACAAGGATACATTTGTTTTATACTCAGAATCACACAAAATAAAAATATATGATAAACACTGTATTAACTGCACAAAACAGTGAAATAAACACCAGGAAGGTGTGCCATGTCATGCAGAGAAAGGTTATTACATAGGGGAAATGCTGAGGACCACTTAGGGCTTCTGAATATAGTCATTTCAAGTCTTGTATAAGAAGGGCCAGTAAGCAGTATACTAGGATTAACTTCTTCAGAAATGAAGAATGTGTAGGCTGGGTAGACTAATGGGTAAGACTGAGATGGTCCCAAGTAAATGTATACGAGGTGTATGAGAGATGGCCACAAAGACCCCTTTTCTTATACTGCCAACACAGCAGAGCCAACCTCAATCAAAGGATCTAAAATTACACAGTCATCCAGCCTGGCCAGCATGGTGAAACCCCATCTCTACTTTAAAAATACAAAAAATTAGCTGGGTGCGGTGGTACACGCCTGTAATCCCAGCTACTTGGGAGGCTGAGGCAGGAGAATCACTTGAACCCAGGAGGCAGAGGTTGCAGTGAGCTGACATCATGCCACTGCACTCCAGCCTGGGCTACAGAGTGAGACAATGTCTAAAAAAAATAAATAAATAAAATTACACATTCAGAATGAATGAAAGTTTACATTTCCAAAAGTAATAGAGAGGATAAAGTCTTTTTTCCCCAATAATGTAAAATATTTTCTACTAAGGTTGTCATTACTGTGTCTTAAGCACAGCTTAGGAATCAGACATGCAAATCCCAATTATGCTATATAAGTAAATAACCTTGGCTATCTAATTTTAAGTATTTATAACCCATAGAGTTGTGAGGAATAAAATAATGTCTGTAAAGTTCTTATGTGTGCCTAGCACATGGCAGACAATAAGGCATATATATTCAGAGAATGTATTTAAACCGTTCTTTTACCTAAAAATTGACCCAGATACTTAAGTCTTATCTGATCACTCAGGAGAAAATGGATGAGAATATAATTTTGTGGGAATTAATCCATACCCAACTTCAAAATAAATTAATTACATGCTGACCTGAATAACGAGAAGGGTGTAGAGTCTTCCTTTTTCTTTTTTTAGGATACTCATTCATATCTTTTCAATCTAAAAAATGAAAAAAAAATTAACAAATATGTTACAAATAACAACTGTTAATGCCACTATAAAAATTCTAACTGAAGAATTTACTGGCAATAACAAATATGTGAGCCACTTGAAAATCTATGGTATAACAAAAATGTTAAACAATGCCTCTGTTTGTATTTCAGATTGTTTTCCAATCAGGTTTCAAGGCAGAAACTGATTTCTGTTTTCTTTCTTACGGAGGTTAAAAAATTCTTTTTCAAATGTTGATATAAATTGTGAGAACTGGATAATTACAATAAATCAAATGCTTAAGTCATTTTGTGTATATATAAAAAAAGAAACATTGTGCCTATGGCACCACATTAGGAGTTTTATAGGCACAATTCCTACCATTGGAAATATTTTCACGTAGTTTTCAAGCTAAAGGTGGAGACATTTCCTTTAAAAAAAAAAATATCATCACAAATATGTACCAGCCTCCTGGCTTCCAGAAAAAAGTACTCATCACATAGATCAGAATATAAATAATTTTCAAGAAAAAAATCATTTTCCTATTTATGAGGTCACATTCAACGTTCCACTGAGAACACAACAGGTGCAGCAACCATTGTCCAATTAAATTCTCATTAACTTATAAAATTACTTAGTTTCAATACAGTCCACTTACTTGGTGTAATTCTTACTACTGGAGTGAGGAAAAATGAATTATAATAAGTTTCTGTAGATGGTAAAAAAATGCCTGTAAGTAAAACATGAAAGAAGTTAGTAAGCAAAAAATACAGGTCATTTCTGGTACTGCATAATACAATGGTACCAGATCTTTAATCAACTGGAAAGTTATACAGAACTAATTAAGATACATTATTTTGAAGATAATGTACTACATACTAAAAACTATATATTGATAAATGTGATTATATGTAAATTTCCACATTTCTTTGAAATGATTCACATTCTACAGTTTTTTTTTTGAGACAGTCTCACAACTGACCTATAGTTAAATCTTTTGATACCAAAATAAAAATATGAATCTGAATTTATTCATCCATAAGGAAAGCAAGCATAATGAAAGCAAATCAAATTATAAACTTTTTTTTTGTTTTTGAGATGGAGTTTTGCTCTTGTCACCCAGGCTGGAGTGCAATGGTTAGAGCTCAGCTCACTGCAACCTCAGCCTCCTGGGTTCAAGCGATTCTCCTGCCTCAGTCTCCCAAGTAGCTGGGATTACAGGCGCGTGGCACCACACGGGGCTAATTTTCGTATTTTTAGCAGAGATGGGGTTTCACCATGTTGGCCAGGCTGGTCTCAAACTCCTGACCTCAGGTGATCCGCCCACTTCGGCCTCCCAAAGTGCTGGGATTACAGGTGTGAGTCACCTTGCCTGGCCCAAATTATAAACTTTAAACTGTTACAGTCCTTATAGATTATTTATTTAAGAAATAAAAGTGGCTGGGCACGGTGGCTCACTCACATAATTCCAGCACTTTGGGAGGCCGAGGTGGGTGGATCACCCCAGGTCAAGAGATCGAGACCAACCTGGCCAACATGGTGAAATCCTGTCTCTGCTAAAAATACAAAAATCAGCTGGGTGTGATGGTGCACACCTGCAATCCTAGTTACTCAAGAGGCTAAGGCAGGAGAATCGCTTGAACCCGGGAGGTGGAGGGCTGCAGTGAGCTGACATCACGCCACTGCACTCCAGCCTGGGTAACAGAGCAAGACTCCCTCTCAGAAACAAAAAACCAAAACAAAACAAAAAAAAAAGAAAGTAAAAGTGATAATAATTTACTGACCACCAATTATGTACCAGGCTGTGAACATACTTTATCTCATTTAATCCTATGTAATCGTATGAGATGCACATTTCACATCATCCTCTCAAAATCATTTACTTCCTGCTATTGATGAGGAAACTGAGGCACAGCAAAGTCAAAGCTAGACACTCAGTAAATGCTGGGGTTGGGATTTGAATAAAGGTTTACTCAATTTTATTTATCAATCTATTTATTTATTTCAAACAGAGTCTTGCTCTGTCACCCAGGCTGGGGTGCAGTGATGCGATCTTGGCTCACTGCAACCTCTGCCTCCCCAGCTCAAGTGATTCTCCTGCTTCAGCCTCCTGAGTGGCTGGGATTACAGGCGCCCGCCAGCACACCCAGCTAATTTTTGTATTTTTAGTGGAGACGGGGGTTCACCATGTTAGCCAGGCTGGTCTTGAACTCCTGACCTCAAGTGATCTGCCCACCTCGGCCTCCCAAAGTGCTGGGATTACAGGAATGAGCCACCGCGCCGCCTATAATGCTCTTAACATCAAGGTGATACACATGACAAGTGCTCTAGTTGAGGTGCACATACTATTTTTGCTGCTTCGCTAAGTTCTGGGTATAGCAGCACTAAACTGATAACAATACAGCAAGGAATAGTGCTTTTTCAGTTTATTAAGATAGTGCTTTTTCAGTTTATTAAGCATTTTCCTAACCCTTATTCTACTTCATCTTCAAAATGGTCCTGTGAGGTACATGGAGGAGTTACTAACAAACCCATTTACATTTTTACTGATATGGAAACAGCCTTAGTGAAAGTTAAGTCAACTAATAGGTGGGAGAACCAGAGATGAAATGCATGTACATCTTGCTTCCAGTTCTTAGCTACCAGGTGGGAGAAGGGAAAAGGAATAGCCTAGAGAAACCGATAACCATGAAATGTACAGAAATGATACCAATATTTAAAATGCCTCACCTCGCCGGGCACGGTGGCTCACACCTGTAATCCCAGCACTTTGGGAGGCCGAGGTGGGCAGATCACCTGAGGTCGGGAGTTCAAGACTAGCATGACCAACATGGAGAAACCCCCTCTCGACTGAAAATACAAAATTAGCCGGGCATGGTGGCGCATGCCTGTAATCCCAGCTACTTGGGAGACCGAGGCATGAGCATCGCTTGAACCCGGAAGGCGGAGGTGGTGGTGAGCCTAGATCACATCATTGTCCTCCAGCCTGGGCAACAAGAGCGAAATTCCATCTCAAAAACAACAACAACAACAACAACAAAACAAAACCAAAAAAAAACCAAAATGCCTCACCTAACAATGTAAACAATTGTTCCTTGAGTAACCATCTCAATTCACTGCACTCAAAATTTTAAAAAAGAGCTATTACTATCTTTATGTAATAAACTAAAATTTCAAGACTTATTAATACCTCTTTTGTACACTTCCAGGATTCATATAGCCCAAAGCTTCACACTTCACGTTCTAAATACTCTAAAAGTATCAGGGAGAACACTGAAAACCGTCAGACGAACATGTTAAGTAGTCTCTTGTTATTTCAGAATGTATCTCAAGTTCTTTAGAACTTGAAGAATAAAAGTAAGAAAAGAAAACCAAGCGTGGTATTAAAATTAACGTTGCAAGCTGGCCTGGATTCAGGCTGTTAGTTGAGAGGAGTAGGCACACGGATCAGGAAGGGTTTGACTCCTACTTAGGGCCGAAAAATATCCAAATGTCCATCGGACTTCCTTTCAGCACGATGGTGAGATGCCTATTCAAGATCAAAAATGCTAACCATCCTTCATTTTAGCAAACATTTTTATGTGCCTTTTGTGTGCATAACAGCCTTGAAAAAACTTAGCTTTTTACTCAAGGACATCAGAAACATTTGCCCACTAGTCTTCTTAGCAGGAAGATACTGAATCACAAGCAACTTATCACACAGTTCCCCCCTACCCCCGAAATACAAACGACATATGTAACACGTGTCACTGCAGGAAAATCAGAAAAATGTTTTAAAAACTTTATATCACCTAGAAACCAACATCTTTCCACCTGTCATTTTTTTCAACCAACAAGAATGTCTATGCACAAAATACAATACATACAACAGGTAGTCA